ATTAAGTTTTCTCACCTTTCTAATTTTATGCAAATGCCGACCAGCCGTTTGATATGAAACTCCAAATTCTGCAGTCATTTCGACAAGTTATCCTTTTTGGACTAACCTCAACAATTACTCATAATTTTTAGCCATCAAACTGAGATAGTCTGCTCAGAAGCTGCTCACTTTTCAGTGATTCCTCGCCTCCTGCAGACTTCGCAAATCCGTAGAATTTGCTCTGGTACAAACGTGTCTTTAACTATACCATTGATTTCCAAGCGGCTGGCTCTAATGACACTACTTCAGTTTTCCCAAAGATACGGAGAAACTGTTGAACAATTACGTTTCTTCAATCTAAATTTAAAAACTTAAAAACTATTTTTTGAAACTAAAATAAACAAAAATAAAACTATAAAGTGAAAAACCCGTAGACGATAAACTTTTCACTAGTATTTCACAAAACATCCATTTTGAATACTACAGTAATCTAGATAAGCCCAGAAGTTTAACCAGTTGTAAACTGAGTAATGCTTATGGAACTTCACCTACTGGAATACAACCAAAACGTTCCCAGCAGAGAAGATGAACAACGCTTTCTTCACCACTTTTTTCACAAATACTGCCTTCAGACAAGAATGAAAGTGATGTTCATAAATTTTTCATCTTATGATAGTCATTCTAGCCATCTGTTTAAAAATAAAGTTCATTTCACTAAAAGCTAATAGTTTTCTTTGCTGTCCACAGTTTGAAACTTCGAAACCTTTTCAGTTAAAAGAATCATCAAATTTTCCCGAGCTTTTTAGATATTCAAGAAATTGGTACCTGTCTAGCATGATAGCTTTTAAAAAAAGATTCTTAGAAAATATTCTGGAAATCCTACCAAACTGTTAAGCGACAAATTCAATGTAGGAACGAACAGCCAAAAATTATTCCCAAAATTACAGCAAAGCAACAGCTTACGTAATTTAGCAATTATTTGTTTTTCAAAATTTCACATGAAATCCTTCTTTTTCATGACACAATCTTCCGATATGATTATACCAGAATGCAGTTATTGTTGACACGTTACAAACAAGACCACGGAAGCATCTGACCGAAATAAAGCCAGTTTTTTGAACGGCATTACAGTTGACTACTGTATACAAAATCCGTACTGCAGTTCTTCGACAGTCGTCCACTTTTCTGTCTCAAAGACACCCTCAACACGCAGTACTTCCTTTCCTCTTGCTGGCCTCGCTTCAAATAAGTTAAAAAAAAACCTGCATTTAGCACAAGGATTCTTCTTGCCAGTAACCTACACCAGTCAGTTTATTTCATAATGCACGCCTCTGACACCTAACCTCTTGAATTTCTTCAGAATTTTTCTTATCGCTGGCTTCAGATATTCAACCTGCACAACGGAAGTTTATCTGATGATTCTGCTTCTTTTGCAACCTACATCCAGTCAAAAAATCAAATCAAAAGTTTTGATTATTTGTAAGCTTCATTTTTTTTTTCTAATGAATTTCACCCATTATTTTCACAGTACAAAAAAAAACAAAAAAAAAAAAAAAAAAAAAAAAAAAA